TGCATTTCGCGCAAGAGAAACTGTGAGAAGCGAAACGAGCACAGTTGTGTGACATTTCCAACACACCTCGGGGGACTTTATGACCTGCGTCTGCACAACGCCTCCCGAGTTCGGGACATTCGGCTCGATGAACACGTCCGCCCCAGAAGTTCGCACCGTGTTCCCACCCAGATCCACAACATGCACAGTAGGAGCACCGTCGCCGCCGTCCCCGACCGTGATTTCGAGGCTGTTGCGCAATACAAAGTTGACTTCGTACACTGGTACTATATCGTCAAGCACTCGGTCCTTGTCCTTATCAAGTGGCATCGGCACCACTCGCGTACTCTCCTTCACCTTCACTTTGTCTTCAACGTGCGCCGTGTTGACCTTCACGTCCCCCCCCGCCGCCGACACGGACCATTTCGTAGACGACGAGCTCGAGTCCGTGGACGACGACGGAATAGCAATGACGACGCGCCGGGGCGATCTGTGGTAGTGCGGGCGGAAGGGCGCGCCCAGGTTGCGTTTGAGGATCGAGCGCGGGCGGGGTGTTGTTGGAGAGTGGTCGTCGTCCGGGTCTCGGTCCTGGTTGGGCGACGGTCTCGATGTAGCCGCTGCGTTTGCATTCGCGAGTTCCCATAGGTTTGGCGCAGATGTTGATCGGGATTTGAGGGAGCCGGAGAGAAGAGGCGACGACGAGAGCGAGAGTGTCGGAGGGGCAACGAGAGGGGGGTAGATGAGCGATTCGCGGAACACGTCCGCGGAGTAGGAGCGTGAGTGCGTCATGCGTGGTTGCAGTGTCGAAGAAGTGGAATGTGCCGGGTGTGGTTGTGCGTGTGTTTGCGTCTGCGTTGTCGTCGGGTCCCGTTGCTGCGCCCCACTCGCTGCTCTGTAGTGGTCGTGTGTCTGGAACACGGCCAGGATGCCGTCGAGCATTTCGGGCCTGGACGGGTTCCGAGGGGGGGATTTAGGGGAAGAGGAAGGAGGAGGAAGTGGCAGAGCAGGCTCAAGGGTCCGAATGGCCGCGTTGCCAAAGAGTAGGTTGTTCGGTGCTGGTGGAACGTCCGAAGGCGGGTCTGGGTCAGGGCAGGTCCCAGACGAACTCAGTGATGACGACACCAGGGACAAAGACTGCAGCACGCGGTCGAGGTCGAAGTCGAGCGATGTGGACGTTTCCCCGCTGGCCGTGAGCGAGCTCTCGGTCGACTGAATGGGGGCCAGGTGCGTGTTGGATCCGAATGAAGGGCGGAGGTGCACGTCTGCTGGAAACAGGACGAGCGATTTGGGCCGCTCGTTTGGTTGGTGTGGTTCCCTGCGCTGGGTCTCGGAGTGGTATTGGGACAGCCGTGATTCCAAGTCCCAGATGACGTGGTCAGGGTAGGAGCGATGCGGCTCGCGGGAGATCGTGAGTGCGTTTGAGAGAACCGCGACGCTGTTTGGGAAGCAGGGTTGGGTCCAAGCACACAGGGTAAGAGCTGGTGAAATCGACTCACTGTTGCCTCAACTCGTCATCCGACAATAACTGCAACGGCCCCCTTGCCAAGTTCGCAATCGTAGACTCGAACGACCGCGGGCGTAAATGGGCAGGGAGAAGGCTCCGTGGGGCAGGAGGGAAGAGAGTTTGATCTTGTGATGCCGGTGCCGTTGCAAACTCTGGCGGCGCAGAGAGGGGCGGCCGATGGCATCCTCGCGGCGGTTCGGCATCTTTGTGCGAGGAGATGTCGCCTCCGCTGGGTGCGGGAATGCCCACAAGCCCGCCCTGGGATGAGGTCCCGTCCGGCGCCGCTGCAAGCGTGTGGGGCAATACCGCCAGGCCGACCGGGTGCGCGGGACGGCGGGTGGACACTTGCATGTTTCCGTCGAGCGATTCCTTTGCTTCGTTTCAGAGTTGCGATGCAAAATCGAAAGATCGCGTGTGGGACCAGGGAAAGTAAGGGCCACAGCCAGGGTTGGTATGTGGGGAAACAGGGGGAACGGGGGTAACGCTCGGTCGACGTACAGTCTGGCGGGACACGGCGTGGGAGGAGTCGGGCGTTGGCTGAACGACATTGCTGTTCGATTCCGCGGGTCAAGCGTGTTGGAGCTCGCCATCTTTTCGATGGTATTCTTTGCGTTCTTGACTCTGACATTTGACAGGACGACGTTTTCCGTCAGAAATCTGGTGCCAGTGTTTTAGGTTGCTCATCTGGCTGACCAACCAAACTTCTGATTTCTCGAGACTCGTTTACATCTTGTGGACTAGAGGGAACAGGTTCGTTTGAATGCTTGGCAGTACATCCAGCACACTTTCTTTCACATTCTCCGCTGAAATACTCGAGCCTTTATGATTTGCCCGCCCCAATTTCGCCAGTTTCAGGACGCTTCGGGAAGCTCGAGTCAGCAAACTCCACGCGACGGAGGCTTCAAGTACAAAGGCGGTGCCTAGGTTTTAAGAGATCCACTCCCTCACGTCGAGGACCTCCAAATTGACAGTTTTGAGATCGTGCAATGCACGCTGCCTGCGAACGGTAGGCAGCCGCAGGAAGAGGCTCAGCGTCTTCCTCAGGTGTGCCCGTTGCGCTTTAAATTTCAAGCACGTCGTAGCTTGGGAGTAGAAAGCATTCTACGGGTTAAAGATGTGCTTGCCGGACGTATCTTATCATCGAGAATAAATGTATTACTCCAGGTTGTGGAGAGGTGGAGAGGTGGAGAGGTGGGGAAATTAAGGAGAGGAATCACCATCAAACCAGACCGACGTTTGAAAGCACTGAATCTCTGCGCACAAGAACAACCCCATGGCGAAGCATCCTGGTATCTTCCTCCCACACGCCGTGGAGACACCCTCCGTGGAGTCTCTGCAAACCACTATCGCAACTTACGTCGTTCCACTGACCGAAAGCCTTGCACATCGTGCCTGAATTCTTCGTTGACTCACGTGGCTCTTCCATGGCTCTACCAAGTCGCATTTCGAAGAAGACCGAGTCGAACCGTGGCTCCTCGCGGCAGGCGGAGCTCGCATAAACGGAAAGGCGTCACATGATTTTCCAAAATGTGAGTCGTGACTGGTCTGGTGGAGTCACCGTAAGCTTGACGTGGGAGATTTCATCACTCATGGGGGTTCTATTCAGGATAACGTTGGGATTGAAGAGTTCATAAGGACAGTGATTTGTAACGAACACAATGATAAAATGATGTATGACACGCTCTTGTGCCACTCCGACATCACGTCCATGAAGATGGTGGAGCCAATCACATACAGGCTAGGCTGCAAATGAAAAAGTGGAATGCAACGAGCCTGAAATGGGAGCCATGTCACAATTGCTGCACGTCTATTTGGAGTGACTGGATGGTTCGGAGTGGCATTTCAATGCGCCGCCGATGTTGGGCAAAAACGCCTCACTGCTGGAAAATTTTGGCACGGGGGGCACTGCGGGTGGGGTTGGGGAGATGGGGGCAGTGGTGGGAGAGGAGGAGGGTGGTTTTCTCGTTGGAAGCTTCGAGAGGTGGTCGGAGCGTGAGTGGAGGGTTGAGGGATACGGCAGGCGTAGTGTGAGGCTCTCGGGGAAAGGTGAAGAGGGAGGGGGCGGGCGTAGTTTTGAAGCGGTGGTGGAGGGACGGTGGCGGGGTAGAGGTCGGTCTGCAGCTCCACAGCGAACTCCATAACAGCGCGAATGAACGTCACGTAGACGTGGCGCGCTGATTGCGGGGGCCACTTTGTGAGGTTGAACCTCACGGTGGAGATATAATTATAATATTGTCGTTAATATCAATTCTGTATCCAAAACATTACAATTCATAATAACTACACGACCACCGGGCATTGGCATGGGGATGGGCTGTGTTATCGTCGAAGCTGTCCACCCTTTCTCCTGCTGGTGTCCCGGTAGATGGTGGGTCGGAATCTTGGACATGCTTTGATACGGCAAGCCGGGAATTGAAACACTTTCCGGTGGCACTATTGGGGTGGCATCGTATCCATGTTTTCCAAAGAGGAAGAATGACTCGCGAGTTTTCTTCGTCTTTGTTTCGGGTTTCAGGCAAAGTCTCCTTGTTGTTTGTTACGGGCTACAGAATGAAAGCTGTGGTCGATTCGCTCGGGGAAGAGGCACGTTGGGAATCTCTAGTGAACGACTTTGCTTGGTGGGTTTCTGGTGCTCTCTTTTTCTCAAACCTCGTCCGCGGAGTGGATGGCTTCGCACCCCTTTGAGTGTCGCGATTTGAAAGATTCGTGGACAGGAAGTGGATTTCCTCTCGACGTTTCATTAGAAATTGCTGCAGAGAGTAGGAAAACACCCGTGACTTCTTTGTTCGACCGGCAGACATTGCGTTGCAGTCGTGGGAACAAGCACACCCTCATCCGCGACCCGTCCGGATCCACTCGACGAGGGCGGTGGCTTGTATCACAACCGATGTCTGGGAGCTGGGAGCGGTTGAGCGGGGGGAGTTACTGTACCCTCACGCAAACCGAAAGCACCCCAGCCACAAGGAGTTGGGTGGGAGGGATCCATTTCAGTAGACGAGGAGTATTTACTTTACATGAAATAAAATTGTATCGAGTATGAACATTGCAGCGGAAAGATCGGATAGATGAAACGCCTACGACAACAAAAGAAGCTTCCATTTCGAATATGGCAATTTTAGTCACTTAGTTGCACATGAAAAGAAAAACTCATCTCCCGCCCCACCGCTTCTTGTGTCGGTGAGTTTCAAATAACCAACACTAAGCAAACCAATCAAATGTGTAAGGAAAATTGATATTAGGGACCTTGCGCAAAATATCATTCGGCACTTTTCACTGATGTCAAACAATTTGCCAATTCGCAGGGTGAGAAATTTGGGAATGAGGATAAATTCGAATATGTTTTAATTAATAGTTTAGAGTATACTTGATGAAGCTGGTGCTTTAATGGAGGAGAATAACTATTTTTTACATGAGTGAAGATAGCTGAAGGAAATTCTGCGCAAGGTCCCTATTATACAATATAACATTATTATTTAAGCTATATATTGTAAAATTTGTGGCCTCCTATTAAGCTGGGTCTCTTGTAGCTCAACAGGCAGAGCACGGTACTTATACGGGCGAACCGGCCCTATGCAATGCCGAGGTCGCGAGTTCGATCCTCGCCAGGAGCACTTTTGTTCGAACGATAGTGATCAAGTTTTTGCGTATCCAATGAAGTAAAATACTTTTCTTTCAGAACTAATTTTGATCCTTGTTGAGAAGTGAATCTCTCAGTGTGGCGGGCTGGTGGTTGGTTATCCTGCGTGGAGTTGAAAATGGCTGGATAACGAACGACATGACTGAGAGTGTGGAAAACTCTTTCAATTCGTGAGTTCAAATTGTGAGTTCATATTGTGAGTCAAGCTGAGTTTGGGTGGTTGTTTTTGCGAGCGAGTGCCGAGTGCGAGTTGGGGATGACCTTACACGTGAATTGATTCTCAAGTTGTATGTTTTGTATTCAATTCTAATAACTGCATAAAAATGTACTGTGGAATATGATTGTATAGCTCTGTAGACCTCAAAGTCATTCAAAACGTTGTTGAAACAAAGGGGGGCCGATTTGCTTTGCAAGTTGGGTAACACTTGACTCGAAAGCAACGCCACCCTCACTGTCAACAGCCGCAACTTGATGTGAGCACCCAGAATGTGCGGCTGTAGTGTGAATGGGAGGTTGATCGGGGGTCCGACGAGATAGGGGCTGTGCGATTCGGACGGAGGATGGCTTGGGAACAGGTTGAGTGTTCGGCCACTGGGCCCAGAGACAACTGAAAAGCATGATCTGTCATCAGATTGGAGCTCATAACAACGTAACAAGACAATCGACATCAACGACAAGCACTCCATTTAGATTTCAGAGGCACGTGCTTCTGTTCTTTATGTGATACCCTTGAGGCAATTTACACTCACGGTGACGATTTCCATTTGCAAGCGCAATACCGTTCACCCAATCAGTGTGGTGTCGAAAAGTTGCACGATGGGTGGTGGCAGGAGGGACAAAAACACGTCGTTTCCGCTCGAGAGGAATCTTGAATGCACCACGGCCACCAATTGGAGAGAACGACACCCTGGTCACCGAGGTTGCAGGCGCAACGAAGGAGGATTGGGATTGTGCTAGCTTTTTGGTGTAATTCGCAGCAGTTGCCCGAGCCACCGTCCGCCTGTTCGCCCGGGCTCGCGGACGGCGAGGCGGCGGACGCCGTGGCCTCAGGAGCACTGAGAAAATCGGACTGCTCGGCGCCCGTGGGTTTCGCCACCAAAGACTTGGTCTGCCGAAGGACTTCAATTCCGAAACATACCACCACGATTCATTGTAAAACACTTGGAAGCAAAGATTGCGTTGCAAGATTGACGCTAGGAAATCGACGATTGGGTTTTTTCCGAGATGTCCTGTCTGGAAGGTGGGGAGACACGACGACATTCCGGGGGGGGATGAGGTTGGACAAGAGTTCGTGTCTGGGAACAGCAATTGCTCAAAAAGCTCCTGTCAATTAATTGAAGCCGAGAAGAAAAAAAAAGGCTACGTTATGCGAAATAAAATTTTACACCGTGCATGGCTGAAGCGCAAGCCTTTAGTTGGCCCGTTGCCAGCAGGATCACTTGTTGAGTTTGCATTTGGAGGTGCCCCTCAAGTCGTTGTGCCGCCAAAACAAATGGACATCGCCATAGAAACTCACCCGAGGCAGGAAAGCAAAAAAACTTGCTGCTTCCTGCCTCAGGTTGACAAAAACGCGACCGAGCGTCACTGTGCATGGGGCATGAACGCAGGAGGAAGAGGAGAGTGACACATTTTTGCCACACCTGATTCAGGTAAGTTATTTGCTTTCCTGTCTTCATCATCTTCATTACTTACATTTTATGAATTTATTTGGTACGTGTGACTCCGAGGTTTTGCGTCAGGTTGACACCGCTGCCTGACAATTGTCAATCATTACCGTCTCCGCCATTCCATTTGAAATGTATGGAAAGTAATAAATATAAAGAACAACAATATACAACTCTCGCAGATAATATCAATCAATGAAAAGTTGAGAGCTTTCATAAAACTACACATAATAACGCACCATAGTGTTTTATGCCACCTAGTCTCCAAACCTACGTCTCCTATAGCACAGCCGGTTAGTGCGCGGTATGCATAGTGTTCGTATCAACATCAGAGATGGTTTAGTTTGGTCACTTGGTTTACGAGATCATCTTCAACTTTCAACTCAGGCAGGGCGGCGGAGTGAGATCAAGCATTTTGATCGACGGAGAGCGCACGACAACGATACCTCTGACATTGCCCAGAAACTGACACGCGATTTGTGCAGTGGCTTTTGAACACCCTAATGTTTGAAATTCTGCCAACCATTCAACCATATTCGACCACGTTATACGTACACGATAGATACTTGCATGAGATAAATGAATACAAGCTACTACTGCTTTACCTTGTCATGTCCCAGAGAGGTGATGGGAGGTGGCACCTGAGTGTGGAAAGGTGAGCTGCGATGGGAGAGGGAAAGGGAAGATGGGAAGTGGGGTGAACACTGGAGCAGACTGTCTTTTCAGAGGGTAGTGAAAAGAGAGGCAACTCGTCCAGCAGAGAAGCTTATGTTGCGTCCGTCCGGTGCCCCAAGCGAGTTTGTTTCCGTGCTGTCTCCGCCCTTTGTGCGTATAATATCGTTTACCCCCTGCAAACACCGATGGCCTCGTGCACAGGACCGAGCAGTGGACGCCCACGAGCGTCTGCGGTTGCAGTGGACGGTCTTGGCAGGTGGCGCGGATGAATGACGTCGCAGGTTCAGGAATGGGTTGCGTGCGTATTCACCCTTGCTACCTCAGCACGCACGTGGTCACTGGGCACTGCTGGCCACACACCCACGCACGCGACACACCTTTTACGTGAAATTCCTGGAATCCGCCCAATTTTATTTTATTTTCTATAATACTCTTCATTTTCTCTTTCTCTCGGACTCCGCCGGCGGGAGAGGCACGACGGGCCACAGCGTCCGCAGCCCGCACTCGCCTTCTGCGCAACTTCTTCGCAAAAAAACATCCGCTTGCGTCTTTTGTATAAAAGGCCTTTTGACTACTCAAGTGAAGGAAAGGAATCCATAGAAAAAGAGTCAAATCCAGACGACGACAAGTGCAATCGTTGCGCACCAGCCAAGAATCCGCACCAGACCAATCCACGCACTCCCGCTCCAACCCACGAATGCATCCCCGCGCCGCGTGGGGTATCATGGACGACCCGGTCGGACGACACGCAACGGACCCGCGCACCAGCGACGCTCCCAGAGCTGCGTCAACATTCTCCTCATCCTCATCCTCATTTGCGACGCCCGCTCTCGCCGCGCCCTCGCCTGCCGACGCAACCGTGCCCGTCGGAGTCACGGTAGGATACGTCGCCCTCACGGCCTTCTTCTTTGGTACGCTGTATTTCTTGTTCTGGTTCTGCGTAAAGACGAGGTGAGGACCCGTGTTTGTGGGGTTGGGGAGAGTCGGGAGTCGGAGTCGGTTGAATCAGACAACGTCCTGACCCAACCAATCCACATCACCGGCACGCACGCAGTTACGGTCGACCACGCCGACGCGCAGATCCAAAACCCAATTCAGCAGCGCTGTCTGAAGACGTGAGTCTCCCTGTTCTTATTTTGCCTTTTTGGTCTTGGCACTCGACTGACCGTGCCCCCTCATCTAGATCCTCTACTCCTTACCCCTATACCGCTACGACCCCTCGCACCCGTCCTTCTCCAAACATTTCCGCGTCTCCGTCCACCCCGAACCCTCTTCGCACGCACACGCAGAGGGTCTCAACGTACCGTCGTCACGACCCAGTTCTCGGTCTTCGCACACAACTATTCCCGATCCCGACGCACACCACGGCAGCCTGGACCATAGCGATTCGGAGTCGACGGTGCTGAGCGTTCACGAGGATGTGCACGAGCGTGCTGAAAGCGTCGTCGCGTCGCCTGCCGTCCTAGAGGCACGAGTGGACGCCGAACCTACTCCAGTCCCCCGGTGGACCCTCGCACTAGCCTCTTTCCGTACCCACCTCCACCTCCTCCCCCACAACACCACCACCACAACCATCCCCCGCGTCACAGTCGCAGTCGCACCAGAGGACGTGCCCGAATGCGCCGTGTGCCTGGACGCATTCGTCAAGCGCGACTATGTGAGGGAGTTGCCGTGCAGGCACCGGTTCCACGCAAAGGTTCGTTTCTGTTTGGGTTGTACCCTTTGCTTGTCCTCCTATTGACTTCCACGCACCAACACCAACCGTTCCCACACCTGCCAACACCCACATAACAGTGCGTCGACCGATGGCTCTTGGACGTATCCGCATTGTGCCCGCTGTGCAAGGCTGACGTCGCCGTGCTGTGCGCGCCTGCTAAAGGTGAAACTGAAGGTGAAAGTGCGCCCGTGGGTGGGGGTGCAGCCCGGGCAGAGGAGAGTGCAGTGGCGGTGGGAGATGTGGTTGTGGTTGTAGATGAGGAGGAATGACACATGGAGGAGAAGTGACTGAGGGGACTGAGGGACCACAAAAGCATTCATGGAGAGACTTTGGCATCAACCCGTTTTTGAAAAAAACATTTAACTGTAGATATAGTCGTGCATGTACCTTTACCCTGTACGTATTTCAGTACCCATCACGACACGCATCTCTGAATCCTTCTCCGTCGTCGTTCTCGGTCGCCAGTGCTTGCACTCCGATACGTACCGTTTGAAACATGCAGACACGGCCGGGGGTTCGTTCACACCATTCGGGAGTTATGTATGCACCGACAACATTTCTTCCAAAGAGTGTTATAACAGAAAAATCCGAGGCGAGACCCAACCAACTTTTGCGTACACAAAACTGCCAAAGATTGTAACACCACACTGCGGAATACAAAAAAAAAAAAGTGTGTTGTTTGTTGTTGTTGTTGCAGGAGAAGCGCCAAAACATTAATTTCTTCTGCGCGGCTGCGTTGGGTATTGGGGCGTGGGGCAAGACCACACCACCACCAAGACAAAAAGGGGGGAAGGGGGCCATCAGAACCACCCTGGAAGCGGAGTGGGTCAGTTGTCTCAACTTGCACAGGGGGAAGCAGCGACGACGGTGACTGCATACTCACCAACGAGTTTCTTGAACAGTTTCGACCCCCCTCGT